AAAAAATGGGATAAAAGAAAGGTTTGGATAGTGATAGAGAGAGGCTTACTAGCAGAGATGGACATTAGTGCTTGGATGGGCCTCCAGGCCATCATACAGACCATCATGGTGGGGAAGATAGAGATTGTATTCCCTGCCATGTACATGATGAATAGGTTCATAGGGATTTGCTTCAAGGGACCAAGAGCAATATCCCAGCAGCGCTAAAACATATAAGGAGGAAAAAAATACAATAGAATTCAATAAGCAAAGTCTACATAGTCTAGTTCTACATTTGGAACAGCTATAGCATTTCTAATACCCAGTTCTTCCTCTGCAGGACATTACCTTTTCAACCAGGATGCGATCTGTCTCCTGAACACTTGTGTCAGGCACCTGCTTATCTGAATAGCCTATGGGGTAGAGGGTGTCTCCTTGGCTGCTGCCACGGTCGCTTCGGCCTCTGGCAAAGAAAAAAAACCCCTCATCCAAATGCACATGCCCAACATTTGCAGATTGTTTATGTAGGGAGACACATACAGGTCTTTTTCCTAGGGACTTACCTACCACCACTGCCTGGACCACTCAATTCAATGGCCCATTTGAAACGTCGTCCACGATTGGTTACCAATCCCCCTCCGGCGCTCATCGTTGCCTGTAAAAAGAGGAAATGCACACACTAAATAAGATCAATTGAATATTAAGGAAGGGAGCAGCCTGACCCTTTTGGCCACACGTCCCACAATGCTGAAGAAATTGCAAGCTCTTATATCATTGCCTCCATTCCGTTCAACAGGTATTATAACATCTTTAGCCAGAAAGTCAACATTGTATTGGAACCTGTGAACCAAACCTAGGAAGTTCTTGGTTTCATGATTACCACAGATCATCCAAGCAGCTGACAGTTCAAATAATCTCTTGTGTATANCCTATGAAGCGGTATATAAGTCTAACTGCTATTGCTATTGCTATAGGGTGGAAGCAGCCTATTGATGGGGAAATCTCTTTTCCATCTGGCCTTTGCACTTCTACCGAGTCGAGGAAACTAGCAGCTGCCTTTTTCCTCCTTTTATAGATAATTCTGTAGAACCACGGCAGGCGGCTGTCATACTTTGTTCTACATACATTTTTTTTATTTTAATTGTGTCTAAGTGGCTCCACTTGCAAAGCTCATGTATTCATTACGTAACATTCATCCACTTTACAGCCTTGGTATCATTTATAAAAAGGCAGTTAAAATAAATAGGGGCATACGTTTACATTTTCCAATTTTGATTTTCTTTTTCCACAGCAAATCTACATCCAGTGCTCTAGTTCATACAAACATGACTTTGAGATTAATGTGAACAGGCTATTGTATAACAAGTTTATCCTCCCTCCCCCGCCCCCCCGCAGTAAATCAGTTATCAGTGGCTTAAGAATTAGGTAATGTACATGAATTTTGGAGTAGCCGTTTGTTCTTCATCGTAAAGATAAAAGAGTCCCTGTGGATTTTACTCCACTAGTTGTTGCCGATTAAGCTGGTGGTGCTCATCTCCATTTCAAGGCTACTGAGCAGGGATGGGTTCCTACCGGTCCTTGCCGGTCCTTGCAGACCGGTTGGTTGGTGAACCCGGAAGTAATTAACTTCCGAGAACGCCGGCAATGTTCCCTCTAAGGTGCGCGGCTGTGCACGTGGCAAGAAAAAACAGCACAGCAGTTTCGAACTGCCGCGCAGTGATTTCTGTCACAGGCTCAGGAAGCTGAGGGGCCTCAGAAAATCTAGGGTTAGCAGGGGCGCGGGGACGGCGGCAGGAGCTTATGCGGCACAGCCGGTCTCCTAGGACCTCCTAGGCGCCGGCTGCGCTGCTCATTACTGTCAGTCGCCCCGTTTTCAGCAAAGCAAGCACGGGGAAGTCCTTTGCAGGCGGCTAGAACTGGCCACCTGCAAAGGACCTCCCCAGACTTGTTTTGTTGAGCACTGGGCGACTGACGGTAGTTTGCGCCGGCCGCAGCCGCTCAAACTAGCATCAGTCACCCCGTGTTCAGCAAAGCAAACGCAGGGAGGTCCTTTCTGGGCGGCCACTCCTAGCCGCTTGCGCCCGGCGCTGCGGCTGAAGTGAACCCCCAAAGCCAGAATATCTGCTGCCGCCTCCTCCTCCTCAAACAGCACTGCCGGATTTGCTGCCCAACACTGCGGCTGAGGTGAAGCCGCCAAAGCTCCCGCCGGCACCCCCACCCGTGGCAGTGGTGCCTCCCCCTCCACTTGGAGCACCTGAGCTGGGCCCCACATTACCCCTCCTCCTCCGCTGTGCTTTTGAGGAGCCATGAGGCCACGGGAACCAGTAGGAAGGTGGCGAAGGGGGCGGGAACAGGAGAAAAAGGCCTCATGGCTTCTCAAAAGCACAGCGGAGGAGGCGGCAGCAGGGGTAACACGGAGTCCAGCTCAGGTGCTCCAAGTGGAGGGGGAGGCGCCGCTGCTGCTGCCACGGGCGAGGGCGCCAGTGGGAGCTTTGGCGGCTTCACCTCAGCCGCAGCACCGGGCAGCAAATGTGGTGGTGCTGTTGGAGGAGGAGGAGGCAGCAGCAGTTATTCTGGTGGCGGCAGGGGCTTGTCGGCATCTTCAGCAGCAGCCCTGCCCCCTGTGAAAAAACCAAAGATGGAGCAGATCCACGCAGATGACATCGCCGCAACATGACTGGAGGAGGAATTCTGGGAGTTGAAGTCCACAAGTCTTAAAGCTGTCAGGTTTGAGGACCGCTGTTTTTTTTCCCTAAAGGGTTAGGTGTGCAAGGGTCTTGTAACTTGACAGCTTTAAGACTTGCATGCTTCAATGCCAGAGTTTCTGAGCCAACATGACTGGAGGAGGAATTCTGGGAGTTGAAGTCCACANTTTTTGATTGTAAGCCGCCCTGAGTCCCCTCAGGGAAAAGGGCGGCCTATAAATAAACAAATCTAATCTAATCTAAATCTTATGACCACAAAGGCCAACGACCAAACTTTCTGTTGTTCTGTTCATTTGTTAAGTGAATTCTGCTCCATTTTACGAATTTTCTTGCCACAGTTGGCAAATGAATCACTGCAGTTGATAAATTAGTAATCTGCTTGTTAAGCGAATCTGGTTTGGGACACAGCAATGGTCGTAAGTATGAGTCAGTGGCCAAGCATCTGAATGTGGATCACATGACCATGAGGATGCTGCAAAGGTCGTAACTGTGGGAAATGGTCACAAGTCACTTTTTTCAATGCCATTGTAACTTTGAATGGTCATTAAATGAACTGTTGTAAATCAAGGACTACCTATATAAAACAAAACACACTTTCTCATTGATCAATTTTCAGGAAAGGAGCTGAATTTTACTGGTTTCTGGTATCTTATGACATATTTATTAACTGTACCTTCCTTTGGAACCTAGATGGTCTGAATCTTTACTCAAATGTGACAGTGCCTATCCAAGCAGTAGCAATAGCACTTAGACTTATATACCACTTCCCAGTGCTTTTACAGCCCTCTCTAAGCAGTTTACAGAGTCAGCATATTGCCCCCAACAATCTGGATCCTCATTTTACCCACCTCGGAAGGAGGGAAGGCTGAGTCAACCTTGAAGCTGATGAGATTCGAACTGCCAAATTGCAGTACTGTTGCTAGGTCTCAATCAGAAACTTATTCATGATAGATCAAAGTATAAATGGCAACACATAATAGTTAAATGTGCTACTGTTTTGTACTAGATCAGCTTTTTCCAGTTTAGTCCCCTTCCAGATATGTTGGATTAAAACTTGCAAAATTCTCAGCTAAGAATTCTAGATGATGCAATCCAATGCCGAAATGGGATGGGGAGATTTATTGAATGAAATTCATTCAGTGAATGCATTTTACGGGAATTTAGTGCTCCTATTTTTCCAAGTGTGTGCCATCACACCATGTATAGCAATAGTATTTATACTTATATACCGCTTCACAGTGTTTTACAGCCCTCTCTAAGCGGTTTACAGAGTCAGCATATTGCCCCCAACAATCTGGCTCCTCATTTTACCTTTAGAAGAATAAAAGGCCAAGTCAATCTTGAGCCTGGTGAGATTCGAACTGCCAAATTGAGGCAGCCAGTGATCAGCAGGAGTAGCCTGCAGTACTGCACTCTAAACACTGCACCACCGCAGCTCTTAAAGCAGCTGAAAATCAGGTTTTACAATGACTTGGATGGATTGGCTAAAGCAATGCACTCAGGTTTTGGTGCAGCCATCCTGAAAAGAAAAGCAAATGACAAATGCTGCAATATTTTGCCATTTAGCTATTTTTCAGGGTAACCGGCACACCTTTTAATCTCAGCCGACAAATGACGGACTGGACACCTCTGACAATAAGTAGCTTTGGGATAAGTGAGTAGAAGCAAAGGACATTGATTTTCACTGGCATCTGCCGATCTTTAAAGGAAGCAGGGCCTGGACAGCCTGAGAGATATTGTTCTACTTTGATCCCAGCTTGATATTCATTCTTGCTGCTGTTTTATTAATCTTGTTATCTGATCATCTCTTTAGATGTGTGCATGTATGCACAGAGGGAAGAAATGGTTATCAGACATTCAAACAAGTATCTTGAGTTTTGTCTCAGCCCTTTGAGGTTGCCCTGATTAGGAAACAGAGTAGAATTCTTTATTGGCCAAGTGTGATTAGACACACAACAGTGGTGGGACACGACCAGTACGCCCCAATACGGGCGTACCGGTGCCTGCTGGGAGCACCAGGTACTGTTCCGGTACAGTGCTCCAAAGGGCCCACCCACCCGCCTGTCCTCCTTACCTGTATTTGAGCCAATTGGGGCTTTTGTGCATGCGCATGGAGCGTACAGCGCCTGCGTGATGCTTTGCCAAGCAGCTGGAGCGTCGCAGGTAGTAAGTACGTATCTGCGCTGTCTGCTTGCTGCGTGTGTGCACATGGTGTACGTGGGACCCCGTTGCAGAATACCGGTTGCAACGGGATCCAGAACCCACCACTGACACACAAGGAATTTGTTTCCAGTGCATAAGCTCTCAAACAGACTTAAGAGGACTAGAAGTGAGCTTTTTGAGATAGGCTGTGGGTAGTCCTTAACTTACGACCAGTCGCTTAGTGACCCTTTGAAGTTATAACAGAGCCCCCCAAGGATACAGGTAGTCCTTGACTTACAACAGATCAAAGTTCAAAGTTACAACAGCATGGAAAAAGTGACTTAAGACCATTTTTCACACTTACAACCTCTGCAGTATCCCCATGGTCACATGATTTACATTTGGATGCTTGACAACTGACTCATGTTTATGACGGTTGCAGAGTCCCAGGGGTCATATGATCCCCTTTTACAACCATCTTTTAAGCAAAGTGAATGGGGAAGCCAGATTGCCTTAACAACAGTGTTACTATTTTTTTTTTGTAATTTTTAATTATTTTTTTATCCATAAACATTTTGAATACAATGTATTGTCAGGGTATATCATTTACAACAGAAATACAAAGAGAGAACAAAACAAGATGTTAATATGTATACTAGTAACAATAGTAATAATGTAACAGTAATTTTGGTTCAGTTTCTCTTTATATCAGCTTATTTATAACTGTGTTAATTATATTAGCATGTTTATAAATGTAAACCATCTTTATATTTAATTTATACATAGCAATAATCTTTCTTCATCTAATTTCTACCTTCCACTCATAAAGTCTATTCCATGTCAAGTAACATTCTGCGTCTTCTTTGTCTTTTATTTTTAAAGTCAATCTATCCATCTCTGCACAGTCTAATATTTTTCGAATTGAGTTCCTCCCGTCCT